GCTGAGAGTTGGAAAACGGAAAAAAAAATTAAAAACATCCACAGAAAGATTGTCAGGTGTGAATATACAGTCGTATGAAAGGAGAATTTGCACTTCAGTTCCCAGAGTGGGTTCCAGAATCCTTGGCTGGAAGGAAGGCAGAAGTGGAAGTTTTCGGAAGGAATCATGAATGGCCTTCCGTGTGGTCTCCTTTCCTTCCTTGGCCACGACAGTGGAAACAAACCAGTGAAATTCAGCCCTTTTCTATCTATCTCCAAGGTGCTACCATTAGTCCTCGACTTACGACCACAGTGACGCCTAAAATTTTCATAGCCTAATTAGAGAAACCCTTGTTGAGTGAGTTTGCCTCGTTTTACGACCTTTTGGCCACGATGGTTCAGCGAATCGCTGCACTTATTCAGCACGGTCATTAAGTGAATCTGGTTTCCCTGTATTGACTTTGATTGTCAAAAGCCGGCTGGGAAGGTTAGAAAATGATGATTGCATGATCCCGGGGGACAATGCAACCGTCATAAATACAGGCCAGTTGCCAAGCAACTGAATTTTGATCACATGACCATGGAGATGGCTGCAGCGGCCATCAGTGTGAAAACCGGTTGTAAGTCACTTTTTTCAGCGCCGTTAACTTTGAACGGCCACTAAACAAATGAATGTAAGTCGAGGACTACCTGTAATACCAGCTGACATTTCCTAACTTTTTATTTAATTAATTTTTATAGCTTTGTATACTTCACACCTGTGGTCAGCAAAACCTGGACCAAGCCAACACTGAGCACACAACCTTAGCAACTACAGAAGGAAATTTCTCTTTCTTGACTTGGTCCCATGGGCAACACTAGCCCCCCCTCCCCCCAGTGTATGGTGGGAAACATTGGGCAATGCACCAAACCATCATTTGCAAAGTTTCTAAAACCTGCTGCCATTGGAAAAGGAGAACAGAGGGCTGGGATGGGGCTGGGTGGGTGGGAAGACAAGGAGGTTGTGAGCCCAGCCCAGAGTGGTCACTGCCCAAGGAGATTCTGCTTTCAAGAGGACAACGGCAACTGTGTGGGTAGATCTTCAGCCACAAAATGGCGGCTGGCTTTTTTGAAGGCCCTGGTGAGACAACACAGTCACAGCTTGCTTTACGGAGAAAATATTCCCTGTTTCTAACCCAGAAAGGTCCAGTAGCATCCTCAGAGTATCTTTTAAGGCAGGGGTCTCCAACCGTGGCTACTTTTAAGACTTGTGGACTTCGATTCCCAGAATTCCTCAGGCAGCATGGCTGGCTGAGGAATTCTGGGAGTTGAAGCCCACAAGTCTTCAATTTGCCAGGTTTGGATAGCCTTATTTTAAGGGCATCTCTTATAAGGCACCATTTTCCCTCCCAATGAACCTCTGTTGGGTGGGGGGGGGCAGAGGTGGAATTCAATTTTTTTTACTACCGGTTCTGTGGGCGTGGCTTGGTGGGTGTGGCAGGGGGAGGATACTGTAAAATCTCCAGTCAGGTGGTATTTGCTGGTTCTCTGAACTAATCAAAATTTCCACTACCGGTTCTCCAGAACTGGCCAGAATCTGCCAAATACCAGCTCTGGGGGGGGGGGGGGGAATCAGTGAAATGAATACAGGTAGTCCTGGACTTACAACCACTTGTTTACTGACTGTTCGAAGTTATGGCACTGAAAAAAGTGGCTTATGACCAGTTTTCACACTTAAGACTGTTGCAGCATGTTCATATAATCCAAATTCCACTGCTAGGCAATTTACATGTATTTTTTTTTTACTTACTTATTTAAATTTCATATTTCTAAACTGTCCGTTCCCTCAGAGAGGGCATATATTTATGACAAGTTGTATTAACCTGGGGTCACGTGATCAACATTGGGGGTGGGAAGGCAGGTTTGTTTAACAACTGCATGATTCACTTAACAACTGTGGCAATATGCTTAATAATGGTGGCCAAAAAAAGGTCATAAAATGGGGCAAAACTTTTTTAATACTTGCCTTGCTTAGCAATGGCTATTTTGGGTTCAATTGCAGTTGTAAGTTGAGGACTACCTGTACTACAAGGCTCTGTCCATCAGCAGATAAAATCTCCAACCCCAGAACAGAACAAATCCAAAATTGCTGGAGGAAAAAAGAAAAAAAAAAAAGACTGAATTTGGAACTGGGCCAAAATCCAGCCTGGAATTGCAGAGAATTTAAACAGAAACCTTCTAAAAATATCTCATTGTAGAGATATCTTGGGTTGTGCAGGCAAGCCCTCAGCATATGAACACGAGACAAAATTTCTGTTACTAAGCAAGGTGGTTGAAAAGCGAGTTGTGTCTGTTTTTATGGCCATTGTCGTAGTCGTTAAGCGAATCACACAGTCATTGGGTAAATCTAGCTTTTCCCAACATGTAACCAAAATGGAGATCAGAATTTTCATCGCTAAACAAATTTAAGTGAGTCTCACCCGATTTTACAATATTTTCTGCAGTGTTTGTTAAGTGAATTATTGCGGTCCTTAAGCAAATCACCTGGTCATTAAGTGAAACTGGCTTCGCCTGTTGCTTGGCTTATCGGAAGCCAGCTGGGAAGATTGCTAATGGCAACCTCGTGATCCCCTGGGAAACCGTAACTGTCATAAATATATGCCAGTTGCCAAACACCCAAATGTTGATCACGTAACCGTGAGGATGCTGCAACAGTCATAAGAGCGAGGATCTGTTTTACGTCTTTTTTTTTTCAATGTGGTTGCAAATGAATGGTTGTGACTAGCTGACCTTACCAGTCTGGGTACCCTTCCTCCCAATTGTGTGACTTGCAGCAGAGCTGTTATTAAGCAGTTGACAAACTTTCCCTATTTTGTGTGAAACAACAGAAACAACAACATCAGCAAAAACTCTCATCAGGCTGCAGCTGTGCCCTCCTTGCCAATCCTACCTCTGAATTTGGGCAAAGGGGCAAATAAACCAGGTTTGGATCCAAGTCTGCTCATTACACAATTAATGGTGGTGTTCCAAAGGGGAAATATCTGTGGGATAGGCTAAGCCAAAATATCTATGGGATAGGGCAGTATCCCAAAACGCCTACTCAATCCAGGTGCTTCACACAGCCTGCCAACTACAAGGACTCATGTGCCTCATCCAATCTTCGATCAGAAACTGGAGCTTTGGCGCATGGGGTCTTGTGAAGTTGGAGTGAAGTGCAGTGATTTCAATCACACACTATCTAGGCCATGGGTCCCCAAACTTAGCAACTTTTAAGACTTGTGGACTTCAACTCCCAGAATTCTCCAGCCAGCTTAGCTGGTTAAGTTGTAATGCTATTTGTTTGTTGTGGTCTTGCGAGGTCAGAAATTCCAGTTTGTGGGCTTAGTGCCATTTGTGAAGTTAGGCCAGGGGTCTTCAAACTTGACAGCTTTAAGACTTGTGGACTTCAACTTCCAGAATTCCTCCTCCAGTCATGTTAGCTCAGGAATTCTGGGAGATGAAGTCCACAAGTCTTAAACTTGCCAAATTTGAAGACCCTTGAGTTAGGCCACCGTAGCTTATCGAATTAACCACGATGAAACAAGAGGCGCCTTAGTGCAACGTGTAAACCAAACCACTGCAGAGTCTAACTGCAAGATCACACCTCTTATCCAAATCTTTCCACTTCTAAAATTGAATGGATTTGTCCCTAAGCCCATTCCTTCCCTTCCTTCCTTCATTTCGTATACAGGTAATCCTCAGGTTATGGGCCGTAATTGAGCCTTGTAATGTTGATTGTAAATTACCATCATAAAGCGGGTCATCGTGTGATTTTGACAATCTTTTTTTTTTTAAATAAAGCAAAGTCATTGTTCACTACGGGGCGTATGTTTCTGGAAGAACGACGAAACAACGTAAAATTGCGGTCATGTGCTGCCAACGGTCGTAAATGCAAGCCAGATGCTGAATACCTGAAATGAGGCCACATGACTTTGGGACAGGGAGGGGGGGGGGGGGGGGGGAGATATTGGAACTTTGGAAGTGGGTTATTTTAACTTTGGGGCCCTGTCATAACTTTGAATAGTCAGTAAGCAACTGGTTGTAAATCAAAGACTACCGGTGTTGCATTTATAAGCCCCCTTTACGTCGTCTTCTGCTACCCTGGTTAGATAAGTTAGATAAGTTCAGGGTAGGTCAGGAGGAAGAAAGGAGTTGGGTTTAAGAAACGTTTTAGAGAAGTTTCACAACCTCAGCCACTTGAAGACGTGTGGACTTCAACTCCCAGAATTCTGGGAGTTGATGTCCACACATGCAGAAAGGCAGACACCACAGAGGAAAGGGACTGAGGGAAGGAACAAGGGAGATTCAGGACGGCCAAGTCAAATCCCCCATTTTGTTTGCTTTAGAGATTTCCAAGACAAGCAACCCAAAACGGGATTTACTTCAGGCTTGGCTCAGAATCACCCGGGATCCATTTTCTGTTGATCCACCTTCTCACCAAAGAATGGCAGGGTGGGGAATAAATGCATTACAAGCCCCCAAGCCAATGCTTGGTTTTTTGTTTTGTTTTTTAAAGTGTGGAAATTGGTCGTTCAGGACATTTCGTCTGCGGGGAGGGTACCCCAAAACATCCACCATTTTGGAACTTGGCAGCTCAGCACCCCTCAAACTACTACAGGCCACACGGGGTTGTTGCCTCTTCAGTTGCATTGTGCTGGTTTCTCCTCCCCCCTCCCAGCCGCCCTCCCTCCCAAACCCGAGCTTTCTTTATGAACAGAAAAAAAACAAAAAACAAGATTTACAAATTACACTTTCCCAGTTTTAGACCTGCGTAAATAATTCCTTCTGTTCAGACAACCCTCCCTCCCCCACCCCTTGAACACACACAGAATACAGTCCAGAGTTTCGATTCGTCTTGAGGGCACCCATCTTCCACAGTCTTTCTTGGAGAAATCGAGGAAGGAAATGTCCAGAAGTGTTGAGATGCTCTTTTATTAATATATTTTTCTTCTTCTTCTTTTCTTTCCTTTCCTTTTCTTTTCCAAAGTGGCAGTGAGCCTGCGATACCCATGGAATATGACACAAAGAAATCTGAAGGAGTAACAGGTTTTGGCATAACAGTATTCTAGTCCTCAAGGTTTTTTGTTTTTGAAGATTTTTTTGTTACAGTTGGTGGCTCTCTTCGTTAAGGGGTTTCCACCGTCACAAAATGTAATTTGGTCACCGCGAGAGGTTCATGTTCCCTTCGCCTGCTGAATCATCATATTCAAGCCAAAAAGAAGGAAATAAAAAACCCACATCAAAGGGAATGTAAAGGATGTCCTTCAAACCCACCCATCCCTTCTCTCCAAAAAAAAAAAGAGGCACCAACGCAGAGGGTCCTTTTTTGGTTTCTCCCACCCACCCCCATTGTGATGTCTCTTTTTTGAGTTCCAGTTGTGGAAAAAAAAGTCTAGAATACACACACGCACACACGCACATACCCTCCAAAAAAAGCCCCAAACAAACCAGAAAAGGTTAAGCTGAGAAAAATAAGGAAGAAAAAAAAAAAGACTATATTTGGTCTAGAGATTTTAAAAAAGAAAAACTCCACAGGGGGGATTAATCTAAAGAGGTGGAGGGTGTTTTTACACCAGCTGGCTTGATAGAAGTCTGTGGAAGGTTTTTTTGAAATATAAAACCAGCTCAGCTCCCCATGTCACAGGTTGTTGTTCCTTTTTTAAAAAAACGGAGCCTTCCCCCTCGCCTTCCTCTGTACTGTATCAGACATGTGGGGGACATGTTGGCTCAGTTTGGGGTGTTTTTTTTCAGGAAACACAAAGGCAAAAAGACCAGGGCCTCTTCTTTGCCTGACGTTGGCAGAGACCAGAGATCAAAATCCTTGCAACACACCCCTCTCCACCCCAAGTGTATCATTTCTGATCCGGTAACAAACACCCCCCTGTTCACTCCTCTTCTTCCTCTCATTCTTTCCTCTGATATGGTTTTTTCCCCCCCTCCCCTTGGTTTTTGCAGCTGCCGCTGTAAAAGAACACCCCCCCCCCTTTTCCCCTCCGCCATTCTGCCCGGGGGCTAGGAAGCGAGGATAGTCCAAAACATCGGCACCACCACGAAGAAGGCATCGGGAACGGTGAAGCTGCAGCAGGAATTATTGCTGGTGAAAATGGGCTCTGGCGATTCGTAGAGGGAATCGTCTGCGGGGAGAAAGGAAATAAAAAGAAAGAGTTGGATTTTGTTGTTGTTGTTGTTGTTGCGGAGAAACCCACTGCCTATCAGCGTTCCAAGTAATGCACCCATAGAAAGCAGAACTCTGAAGGCAAGTTCCTCAAAGAACAATTTATTGGATACATCCTATTGGCACAACTGGTGGAAAACCGACTCTGAAAGCCTTAGTAAGACCACACCTGGAGTACTGCACCCAGGGGTGGGATTCAAGATTTTAACAACCGGTTCTGTGGGCATGGCTTAGGTGGTGGGTGTGGCTTGGTGGCATGTGACTGGGTGGACGTGGCTTGGTGGTCATGTTATTGGCTGGATGTGGCCAACTCAATATCACTCACATCGAGGCACGCATCTCCTCGCCTGGCCTCTCATGACTGTGGGGATGCTGCAACAGTCGTAAGTGTGAAAAATGGTTATAAGTGACTTTTTTCAGTGCCATTGTAACTTTGCATAGTCACTCCACACAAGCAAAGTACCAGCAAAGGAGGGGAAAAAAACTCCTGAGACAGGAAGTCCCGTCCTGCCAAGAATGTAATACGGGTTAATGGAGAGGAGAGGCAGTTTCTGTAAGCAACACCAGAATGTTTCCTTCCTGCCTTCCTTACAGGATTAGGCCAGTAATTTCTTCTAACAACCAGTTCTCCAAACTGCTTAGAATGTTAACAACCAGTTCTAGAGAATAGGTGCGAACTGGTAGAATCCCACCCCTGGTTGCATCCAGTTTTGGTCACCACATTATAAAAAAGATGTTGAGACTCTAGAAAAAGTACAGTGAAGAGCAACCAGGATGATTAGGGGACTGGAGACTAAGGCATATGAAGAACGGTTACAGGAACTGGACATGGCTAGTCTAGTGAAGAGAAGGAGCAGGGGAGACAGGATAGCAGTCTTCCAATATTTGAGGGGCTGCCACAGAGAGGAAGGGGTCAATCGCCTGTAGGCCAGACAAGGAATAATGGATGGAAACTGACCAAGGAGAGATTTAACCTGGAAATAAGGAGAAACTTTCTGACAGTGAGAACAATCAACCCATGGAACAGAAGTTGCCCTCGGAAGTTGTGGGAGCGTCATCACTTGAGACCTTCAAGAAGAGACTGGACTGCCCTCTGTCAGAAATGGTGTAGGGTCTCCCACTTGGGTGGGGGGTTGGACTAGATGACCTACAAGGTCCCTTCCAACTCTGATTATCTGTTATCTGAATGTTCCCGCAGCTTTCACCTATTTTTTTTTAAAATAATTTTTATCACAGATTCAGCTTTATTGATCTGAAGTTAGAATTCTCACGTTAGAATTATAGCCCAAAACTGTGATAAGCCACACTGTTCAATAAAAAAAATAAAAAGGAGCTGCAGAAAGGCTGCTGGAACCCCGAAATAGCTCCAAACTACTGTCATACATAGATTCCCAACCCACAGCAATAAGAAGAGAACTCCAAAGCCCATGATGCTACTAGAGAGATGAGTAGTTCTTTGTAAATGTACCGGGTATACTTGGTGAATCGTAAACAAAGCTGTGAAGAACATGCCAATGGCCAGGAGCACCACAGTGAGATGTGGAAACATAGCTGGATTCACCGGACTGGTGTATCTGCTCATTGTTTCAAGCTTCATGGCTGCATTGGCGGCAGTTCTAGTTACAGAAGGACATGTCCGGCCTTTTCTGCCATCCTCACTCCGCTACCTAATTAAAAGATAAAAGTTCCCCCTTTCCCCCCAAGTCAGTGGTCACGCTGTCCAATCAAGGTGCTGGCCGGTTGCGTGGTTACTTCACTCCTCCTCTGGCCATCCACTGGTGATAATGTCATTGGTTCCCACAGGAAAACGTTATTGTTTTGGCTTCACAACTCTAGATTCCCCCCCCCCCCCCTGTTGTATGGCAACCGCAGCCAGGTTCATTTCAGGGTTGACACTTCCTTTTCCATCTCTCAAGATCTCTAACCATCTCTTATGCCCCTGTTGCTTGGCGTGATGGATAGAAAGAGGCAGATGGTTTTAACAAGCAACCAAGGGCCAAAGAACAAAAAGCACAATGGGAAAACGTAACGCGTGTCTACCAAGCATAGGACAATCATCACATCCCAATCATTCACATTTGACTGAATATCTGGACTTCAACTCCCAGAATTCCCCAGCCAGCACGGCTCATTACTCACCTAGGTAACATCATCAGTGCCAGTTGAGTATGGGGCTTGCTCCCTGTTTATATACAGTAGCTTGCCCTGCTGGTTTTTGTGGGGTGTGTGGTTTTTCTCCTTGGTAATTCCTTGATTGGAGTATTGTCTCCTGTTTGATTGTTTGTCTGGTGTTAATCCCTGCTTATCTGGGTGTTGGCTGCTGAAGAGGATGTGTCTATGGTCTGTTTTGTTTCCTTCTAAGCCCTTTTATTGTCTCCTTTGAATGGTTTGTAAATATAGCTTATCTCTATGCGTCTATTGATGGCTGATTTGTCTCAATGCCAAGCTTTCAGGAATTCCCTAATGTTTTCGGATTTAGCTTAGTCTACTCACAATTTCCCAGATGAAACTATAGTTGAGTCTGCCCGTGAGATTAAAGAGTTTCCATCGTATCTTCTGACTGCTGTTTGGTGTTCGTGGTTGCACTCTCCACAATCAGACAGAAAGCAATACTCAAGTCACTCTCACAATCAATTTAAGAAAGCAACGCATGAATCAAGGGACCATCAAGGAAAAAAAAACCTGACACTCCCACCAAAATGGGTAGAATAACAGAGTTGGAAGGGACCTTGGAGGTCTTCTAGTCCAACCCCCTGGAGATTTTTTCCTGGACCAGAGTGGGTTGGGTTTGTGTGCCATTGGCGACCTTCTCAGTGGCCTCTGACATGCGACGTCAATGGGGGAAGATGGATTCGCTTAATGACTACAGGTAGTCCTCAATTTACAACAGTTCATTTAGAGACCGTTCAGAGTTACAACAGCACTGAAAAAAGTGATGCATGACCGTTTTCCACAATTACAACCTTGCAGCCATCTCCATAATCATGTGATCAAAATTCAGACACTTGGCAACTGGTTCATATTTATGACCGTTGCTGTGTCCTGGGATCCTGGGATCCCCTTTTGTGACCATCTGACAAGAAAAAAAATTAATGGGGAAGCCAGATTCACTTAACAACCTTGTCACTAACTTAACGACCCGCAGTGATTCACTTAACTACTCTGGCAAGAAAGCTCGTAAAATGGAGCAAAACTCATTTAACAAATGCCTCACTTAGCAACAGAAATGTTGGGCTCAATTATGATTGTAAGTCGAGGACTACCTGTATGTGATTCACTTAACTGCTGTGATTTTCTTAATAACCATGGCAAAAAAAATTAGGCATGACTGATTTAACAATTGCCTTGCTTAGCAAATTCTGGTCCCAATTCTGGTTGTAAATTAAGGACTACCTGTTTATCTATCTATCTATCTATCTATCTATCTATCTATCTATCTATCTATCATCTATCTATCTAATCTATCATCTATCTATCTATCTATCCTCTCTCTCTCTCCCTCCCTCTCGTCTGCCTGCCTGTCTTCTCTCTCCCTCTCTCTCTTTCTCTCTCTCTCTCTCATCTCTCTCTCTCTCTCTCTCTCTCTATCTCAATATCTACCTATATCTATATATTGCTTGCAAAGTGGGCAAGGAGAGGCCATTGCTAAGTCCCACGCAGGATATGCTTAGCAACATAAATTCTGATCCCCATTGTGGCCATAAGTCGAGGACCACCACCTGTATGCATAGTTTCATGGACCCTAACAGGAAAAACAAAATAAAGTCCTGAAATTAGAACATTCAAATCAACTGAGCACGCTTCAGTAAACTGGCTGCCTTCTCTATCGCCCTTGCCCTCTGGGACACTTTGATGCCATCCAGTCTGAGCGGCTGGGTCGGGGAGAGTGGAACGGTCAAGGGTTAAAACAGGCTGGCGAACAAGCTGCTTTTGCCAAGATCAGAAGCTCCCAATTTCCACCCCACTGGCCCCCCAACGGAGACTCAGTTTCAAAATATGCGGGCGGCAATTTTCGCACGATGGCACAGAGCCAACTTCAAGATCTGCCAGCCAACTTGTAACAACAGGACATCTCCGGGGACGGTGCCTGTTTAGGTTAGGTTTTGTTATGTCCCCCCCCCCCCCCCCCCCCCGTTCCTCCCCGGCCTTGGCTGGCAGTCAGCACCGACGCTTGGAAGGTCAGAGAGCAATTGTTTCATAGCGATCCAATAATCCTGTTTCCAAAAGACGCCTAATCAGCCAGCGATGCAAAAATGTCTTCGAGGGAATCCGCTAAATTACAGCCAAAGCCGTTTTAACGCCATTCCCTCAGCTCGGCTCCTCTTAAGTTTATTACTAGATTAAGGGTGGTTTTGGCAGACTCACAGCCTGGAAGAGAGATTTGGGGAGGGGGGGGAGAGAGAAGAGGAACGGAGCAAAAAAAAAAAAAATTGGAGATGCAAATCCATCTTGGCACCGGCTTCGAATTCCTCCAATTCTATGGGACTAGCTTTGCTTCTTTTCGCCCATCTGCACCTGGACAATTTGCTGTCGTTTTATCGGACACATTTTTTGGGGGGGAGGGGGGAGAAAGGTTGTCCTGGCCTTCTTCTTCTGAGGGTTGAGGGAGAAGTACTGGCCCAAAGTCACTTTCTTGGCTTTTGCACCTAAGGCAGGACTAGAACTCTCAGGCGCTTGGCTTCTAGTTACCTCTGTCCCCTTGAAATCCTGAATGGGAAGGAAGGAAGGAAGGAAGGAAGGAAGGAAGGAAGGAAGGAAGGAAGGAAGGAAAAGAGAAAGAGAAAAAGAAAGAAGAGAGAGAAAAAGAAACAAAGAAAGAAAGAAAAGAAGAAAAGAAAAAGAAAGAAAAGGAAAGTAGAAAGAGAGAAATGAGAGAAAGAAAAAAGAAAAAAGCAAAGAAAGCAATGAAAGATGGAAAGAAAGATGGAAAGATGGAAAGAAAGAAAGAAAGAAAGAAAGAAAGAAAGAAAGAAAGAAAGAAAGAAAGAAAGAAAGAAAGAAAGAAAGAAAGAAAGAGAAACTGCCATAGGATGCCTGTCCTAACCCTTGTGGAAAGCCACTACAAACACTTCATGCTTCATGAGGGGGGGAAAAAACCTCAACAAAACAACCCGAGGGTTTCTTTCATATTTTTTAAAAAAGTCCTTGTTTTGTTTTAAAGCCAATTAAAATCACACAGACACACAAACATGCACATAGAGAGAAATGAAACATCACCAACGCCCCCCCCCCCGCAATCTCTTTCCCAATTCTGTCATTTCTGACTATTTGCACACTCCCTGGGAAGAACTGTGACCAAACATTAATTACATGTTAACAGGAGAAAATTATTAATTTGTGTTTTCTTTTTTCCCCAAACAGCTGCATGATTTGATTCTTTTTAAAATACCACCTGTTCAGAAAAAGCAGAAGGTTGTTGCTGTTTGTAACATTTTAAATGAAATAATTGGCTTTCTTTCCCCACTCCTTGATCCCAACAATGAACTCAGCGGGTATTCCAAACTGCCCGGGGTTCATCTAAGTTTTTTTCCCCCTCTCCTTTTCATGGATTTGTCTTCACCCCAACCTAGAATCAAATAATAATTTGGTGGAAATCTGCATGCCACTTGAGCCAACACTGGCGCTTAGTATTTCAGCTACTGCCAAGAAAACAAAAGGTGAAAGTTATCGGAAAGGGCGTGTGCGTGTGTGTGTGTGTGTGTTTGCAGGCCTGTGTGTGTGTCAAAAGGCCTTCCCTAATTTAATCTCAAGGGCAAAATGTGCAAGGATGGGACAGTGTCCATTCTGCTTGAAAACAGGTTTTGAATTGTTGGTAATCAGGACTAAGCAACGACTGCGATGGGGACGCTATCTTGCTTTCTTTTTTTTTTTTTGAACTCACACTGTGTAGGCCAGAGGTAGGGAACCATGTTCCCTTTACGACTTGTGGACTTCAACTCCCAGAATTCCATGGCTGGCTCAGGAATTCTGGGAATTGAAGTCCACAAAAGTCATTAAAGGGCCATCGTTCCCCGCCCTTGCAGACAAGACAAAGACTGATTCTTGCAATGTTTTAGTAGCCGAGAATAAGATTTCCGTTTTTGGGTAAACTCAGGAGGTGAGGGAGTGAGGCCTACCTCTGAGGTGCTCAGAGAAGGGTGCCAGAGATACATCCCCATATTGTCCAAAATCAAATATAGGGTAAATTGAGGGAACGAGGTAATTAGAATGTCTATGGAGATTCCTAGTCATCCGGGTCATGGTTGTCCCAAAGATGTTTTTTCAAAACTAGATTTTTTTTCTTCCTGGAAGACGTTTCACTTCTCATCCAAGAATCTTCTTCAGTTCTGTCTTCAGAAGTAAAGAAGTTTCTTGGGTGAGAAGCAAAACATCTTCGAAGAAAAACAAACAGCGTTCAGTTGCCCTTAAGAAGAAGCACCTTTGGGACAAGCTAATTACAAGCCACCAGTATGTCATACATAGCATAACATTTATGCCATAACATCGTCATGGCCATGATATCATGTGTCCTGCTGTGAGGAACACCCACAAAATTGGGGATATTTCATGTACGTGGGGCACTTGAAGTATAACTGCATAAACTGCTCTGTCACTGGAGGTTTTCAAGAAGAGATTGGACAGCCATATGTCTGAAATGACTTGAGCAGGGGGTTGGACTAGAAGACCTCCAAGGTCCCTCCCAAGTCTGTTGTTCTGTTACACTGTTATAAACTAACCATAAACTGGGTTTGCCTCAGAGGTGGTATTCAGCAGGTTCTGACAGGTTCTGGAGAACCGGTAGCGGAAATTTTGACTAGTTCAGAGAACTGGCAAATGCCACTTCTGACTGGCCCCGCCAACCCTATCTATTCCCTGCCTCCCATTGAATCCCAGCTGATGGGCTGGGTCTTCTTTGGTGGCCCTGCACAGGAGAATGGAGCTAGAAAGCAGGTTAGTGGGGTGGGGAGAGAATGGGGATTTTGCAGTATCCTTCCCCTGCCACGCCCACCAAGCCATGCCCACAGAACTGGTAGTAAAAAAAAATTGAATCCCACCACTGGTTTGCCTATACAGTAAGTCAGAACAAACCCTAATCAACATGAAAACAAACCCAGCTAGCATGTTGGGTGAAGGCAGGCAGTAAGTCTGTCACTGATTTAACTTCCAATATAGGCAGTCTTCGACTTATTCATTTAGCAACTGTTCGAAGTTACAATGCCACTGGAAAACAGTGACTTATAACGTGGTCCTTGCAACTCTGATCACAGTGATGTGATCAAAATTTGGCTGCTTGGCAACAGGCATGTATTTATGTCGGCTGCAGAGCCCTGAGGTTATCTGATCGTCATTTGTGGCCTTCCTAGCTGACTTCTGACAAGCCAAGTCAATGGGGGAAGCTGGATTCGCTTAAGGACTTCATGATTCACTTCACAACTGTGACAAAAACGGTCATGAAATTGGGTGCACTTCACTTAGCCAAGGCTTTGCTTATTATGGTCTCAACTCTGGTCATAAGTAATCTTATCCCATTTCTGAAATAAGAATTCTGAACTCTAGGATCACCAAAAGATGGAATCGAGGGGGGGGGGAAATCCTCTACCTAGAAGTGAGAATTTAAGATTCTTCTCTGGAGGAAACCCCTCCCTTCATCTGCAGGCACAGACTCCCTCTGAATGTAGATCAACTTCTCCTTTCTTGAAGAATAGCGATAGAAAACTTGCCACTGGCAAGGACCATGAGGAAACCAAGAACAATGCAGAACAGTCAACTAACACTGCAGAATAGCTGTTGGGTTAACCTTTGAAGCCTTAAATGGTTTCTGAATTTATTCCTCTTCTGTAGGGCAGGAGTTGCCCAATGTTGGCCACTTTAAGACTTGTGGACTTCAACTCCCAGAATTCCTCAGCCAGCATGGGAGATGAAGTCCACAAGTCTTAAAAGTGGCCCAAGATTGGACACCCCTGTGGTTCCGGTGAGGTGATCAGGTCCACCTCTGGCTGACCAGAAAGGAACTTCATGGTGAATCCAACTACCTTTCTTGGCCAACAAAGATGGAGCCCAGAGGAAGTTCTCTAATGCACATCACATACTCTGGTAGTATTCAAAAAGTTTATAGGTGGAAAAAACACCCTTCCTCGGTGCTGTATATCCAAAGTTCATATCTGTAGAGGCAAATGTGTCTATCTTAGAATGTTTAATAACCAGAGTGTCAATCCTGAAGCTGACTTGACGGATTCAGGATTCATTTTGAGGACGGATTCAGGATTCATTTTGAGGATTCAGGGCTGCCACAACTGGAGCTGAGAGATGGAGGAGGGTGGGGAGTAGAGATAGCTGGGGTTTGTAGCCAAAACAAAATACTTTCTCTTGGGAACCAAGGACATTTCAGCAGGTGCATTTCAGCATATGCCAATCTGGCATATCCAATAAAGCTATTCTTTGAGGAATCTACTTGCCTTGGAGTTTTGCCTGCTGTGGGTATGTTACTTGGAGCTCTGACACAGAGATGATTCTGCCCACTTGCTACCCAGGCAATGCCTCCCACAGGTGAAACCCTGTGGTTACCACTGTTAATGTTGCTATCCCCCAGACCCAAGGTGGGTGTACTAACCCAACCTGGTTCTAAGAGAGTTCTGTGCAGGAATATTGAAATCTCATGAATTTTTAGTCTTTCTATATAGATAATCCTCAACTTGGGATTAGAATTTTTGTCATTAAGCAGCGCAGTCATTCAAAGTTATTGCATGACCACGCCCCATTTTATGGCTCTTTTTTTTTTTGCCATGGTCATTAAGCAAATCTGGTTTCCCCAAGTAACTTTGCTTCTCAGAAACTGGCTGGGAATATCACTTTTTAAAGCGATTAAAAGTGTAGATCACTTTTTTTCATCACTGACATAACTTAGAACGGTCACTAAATGAATGGCCGTAATGCCTGATCAGTACAGATAGTCCTCGACTTACAACAGTTCATTTAGGGACCGTTCAAAGTCATGCCGGCACTGAACACAAGTGACTTATGACCGTTTTTCACAGTTACGATCTTTGCAAACATCTCCAAGATCACGTGATCCAAATTCAGATGCTTGGCAACTGATTCATATTTATGACGGTTGCAGTGTGTTGGGATCCCCTTTTGCAACCTTCTGACAAGCAAAGTCAATGGGGGAGATTCACTTAACAACTGTGTTACTAATTTAACCAGTGCAATTATTCACGTATGGCGAGAAAGGACATAAAATGGGACAACATTCACTTAACAACTGTCTCACCTAGCCACAGAAATGTTGGGCTCAATTGTGGTTGTAAGTCGAGGACTACCTGTAATGCTAATACAACAAAGACCCAATTGCAGCCATCACTTATTTTTAACTCATTTTTCAAGGCGTTTGTCCTTTCAGCAACACTGTATTTTCCCCCATTTATCAGTAAATCTGACTTCAGACTATATCTAGAGGGAAAATAAAGGGCATTTGTTTTTCAAACAAGAATTTCTATTTACCCTTAAACCACATCCTTTTAAAAGATGGCTTTTGATAATTCTGAGCTGAGTGGTGCAGCAGAAGACTGGGGGGAAAATGAGGGTTGGTACTTAACATACAGTCAGATTCATGCATTACTCCAGGTTGGTTCAAAATTGAATCCTGGAGGGGGAAAAAAAGTATTCACATTTCCTATGCCTTCTTTCGTCTGGTCCTACTTACTTGTTGGTCGAACATAAACCTTCAGCTTTAAGCAGGGTTTGTCAACCAGATTAGGTGGAGTGGCCGCTGAAAGAAAGCAGAAGAGACAAAGAGGAGGAAATGCAGTTAGAACAAACCAGGTTTATGCCACACAAAGAAGCATTTTGTGCCTTTCAGGTAACATGAAAAGGCTAGTTCTGAAAAAACTCAAGTGTTCCAGCAATTTGCATTTTTTCTTTTTCTTTCTTTCTTTCTTTCTTTCTTTCTTTCTTTCTTTCTTTCTTTCTTTCTTTCTTTCTTTCTTTCTTTCTTTCTTTCTTTCTCTTTCTTTCTTTCTTTCTT